TTTATATAGTGTCCGGTTTAGTTTAGATATACCCAGTAGCTCGGCAGTCTATTTTACATTGAAACACACGGCTGCCTCATACATCCATTTCCACTTGGTCACTTGGACAAACTTGGTTGTTTTTAGACTATTTTCGACATGTTCTGTAACGTCTGCCGTTTACTTTTCAGCTATGCCTATGATTTCAGTGATAAATATGCTGAAATATTTATTAATTAGGCAAAATTACGCAACCTACCCGATTCAATGCCCCCCGTTATACCGGAAAAGCTGGGCTCGTCTTCAAAGAGCTCGATGATTCGCCGAGACGTTTCCTTGACTGGCGCCGGTGCACTTCCGCCTCCGGTTTGCTTTTGTTGTTGCTTTGTGCGACTGTAATCTTTTTTCGCTGCAGAGACCATCGTTCGCTACTTATCTTTGATTTCACCGGTCGTCCTCCTGGCAACGCCGATGGCATTGACTTTATCCGTAATGGATTTCCATACGTTGGCCTTCATTTTATTGTTTAACGTATTTGAAAATTTTTCTCGGATAACGCTCAAATTTTCCTCAGCCAGTTCGAGCAACAATGTGCATTCCGCTGGAGAAAAATTTGATTTCCGTGGTCGTTTAATTACATCAGTGGACGCCGACATGGTGAGAAAGTTTTTGATTACTTTTTTAAAAGATTTTCGTCATTTTGCATAGCAACACATAGCAACGAGCTTAGGATGGATAGTTATCCGACGGATAGCTATCCACCCTGCTATTCATGCTTCGTACAACGCATTTTTATCCAACGAATAACTATCCATTGGATAGGGGATTTATCCATTGGATAGGACTTATCCACTGGATAACTTATCCACCTTTCGTACAACCGGCCCCAGGCAACAGGATATGCTGCTGAAACCGTTTAAGTAGGTTTTTTTAATTTTAAACTCGTTTACACTATAGAGTTTTCGTCACGAAATACAATTGTTGTATGAATGTTGTTGAAGTTGATTTTTGTTCGTCGCTTTTTAACAAAACACTTAATGCCTGTTCCCTCGGGAAATAGTTAGTTTTATTTTCCCTCGAATCTTAATGTTTCCCTCGACTTCGTCCCCTCGGGAGCAGACATTAACTGTATAATATAAGATGCGACTCATTCGAGATTTCGAGGCTAACGATAAACACCGCTTGCATTGCTATTCTATTTACGAAAGTAGCTATGAAATATCATTCATACATCATAATAAATTAAACATGGCCGAGAATGTATGCGAGAGATAATCTATTCAATGGTAAATTTGACGTGTCTCAACTGCTTTTTAAAATAATTTACAACATTCATTTTTTAAATGACGTTTTTCTGACATAGCCACTTCCGTTTCCACTTCCATTTCCCGTTCCCATTCCCCGATTCCCCGTTCTAAAGATAGCCCTAATTTATTTATTTAAAGCACTGCATTTACCATATTTGGTTGTTCATATGACAGGTTTTATTAATTATTGATCAGAGACGCCGATCTTCTGGACGAAAATTTTTGTTTCATTTTTGACATTAACACAATGGCTGGCAATGCACCTCGTGTCAAGGAAACATATATTAAACGAGAAGACTGGCATCTTGAGGGTGAGGAAGGGATGAACTGGTCTGGATGGAAGGAAGCACTCCGGCCGTCGCTCCCTGACAACACAATTCCTGATGGCTACAGAATACGTAGCAGCGTCAACAACGAACAACAACCTGGGTTGATTTGCACTAAGGAAGTTGAGAATTTTCTCGATCAATATCGATATCAATACAAATGTGGAATATACGAATGGGGGGCTAAGAGTAGAAATGATCTCAAAGGCAACATGAAGGTGGTTTACATTGGCTGTTCTTGCAGTTCAAAAGGACGAAAGTTGAAGGGAAGAATTATGGATTACTGTACAAGCGGATCGCACAAGCGCCAGGATATTAACTATGCCTTGCAGCAAGGATATACTCTTTATGTTAGAGTAAAAGAAACCGTCAATACGACGCAGGCGGCAGAAGCCGCAGAGAACGAGCTCTTGCAGAAGTATAATTACGCATGGAATCGGCGAATTATAAAACCCGCCAGAAGCCTGCCAAACCTACGCTGAATACTCTATAATGGCTAGCGGGAAGCCACTTAGCAATACAAGCTTAATCTAACTTTTTGACGGCAATGCTCTGACAACAAGAACTTTTAAATGGAAGTAGATAACATTTGAATTGGTCTGCTTCCAACTTATATTGTTACCAGCCAATGTAAATAAAAAGATTCACTATTTGTTGTATTTGCAGTATATATAAGAGCTCTTGTATTTGTTTCTTTGAACAGACATGTTGGCTGCTTATACCGAACTTCTCTTGTTAAATTGTAAACAGGTATATAACCACAGAAATCACAAAGACAAATTACATTTATTTGTATAAAAATATAGAATTCTCACGCTCAC